CTCCTCTGATTAGTTCAATGTTTTAAAAGTAGTTTTGAGTTCATTTTTGTGCAGGGTGACAGATCTTGAGAATAGCATGCTAAGCAAAAGAAATCATATGGGCAAAGACAAGAACCATGAATTTCACTAGTATGTGGGGTATGAAACTGAAGGCAGCAAATGAACAAAGACACACAAACAGCCCAGACACAGTATGGTGGTTACCAGAGGGGAGGGGGAGGGGGAGAGGTTGTGAAGGTTAAGGGGGTCGGATATATGGTGACAGAAATTTGACTTTGGGTAGGAACGTAATGCGGTATGCAGATGATGTAGTATAGAATTGCACACTTGAAACCTACATCATTTAACCATTGTCACCTCAGTACATTGAATTAAAAATGTTTAATGTAGGTTTTAATTGCTGTTCAGGTATGATGAGGCCAGCAGATCAGGAGATAACTGCATTGAAAGATTGTTGCTCGCAGTTCCCAAGAGTAGGGAGCTTGCTACACTGATAGAGGTGGGGGTAAGGGTGGGGGCTCACACGGAGGCTTCAGAGCTGGTCCGGAGGCAGAGGGAGCAGACTGAAACATGGGCAAAAAGGAGCCTTTGTTGTGGTTTCCATGGGAAGGAATGGATGAAGCAGCGCAAGCAGATTCAGGATTGGCTAGTCTGAATGACTTCAGCAGCCTCTGGGGCACAGGGCCATCTCCCATTGCTACCTGGCTCTGGGGGGATAGGACAGGGGATTGATGGCCCTGCGTGTGACAGCCCCATAGAGGAGGGGGTGGTGATGTGGCTCTGGTTTGCTTAGTTTTCAAATGAAAGGAGTGCTTGAGGGAGAGTCATTTACTGTAGCTAAGAATCGGCCGTTCCTGGGAAGGGCCCCTTCGCTAGGTCATTACTAGCTCCAATGTACAAATAGCTCCAATCATAAATTAAACACACATTTATCTGAATGTTAGCCAGGAACCATGCTGCCCTTTTTGTTGCAAAAGGGAGTCTACCATCTAAATATTTGCAGGGATTTTTTTTTTCATCCTCCTCTTGAGTTACACCCTGTCTTACCAGAGTTGAACAACATAAAACTGGTCACTTGACAGGTACTTACATCAGTGACAACCTGACTTTCCCTGCAGTGTCAAAGCAGTATAATCAGTCATGTTAATTATTATACTTACCGCCTGATGTGGACAAATTTAGTCTTCTCTATGCGTGATTTCTATGTGTTACAATCTGAGATGCTTTTTAAATTTTATTCACCAAGTTGGAGAACAAAAGGCATGAGTGTTTAAAAGGCAAAAAACTGTCAGCCTGGAAGTGTGTAAGCACTAACCATTTCACCCTGTGCGAGGCTGAAGACACAATGACCCATTTCAGGAGACTAAACAGATGTGTTGGACTGTTGCAAAAATGCATTTGTTCCTTAATCTTTCTGCCAGTATTAAAATATATTTCAAGTATTTTATTGTGCTTACTGATTATTTTCTTCAGCGTTACACTCTCATCAGTGCTTAGGTTATAATTGATCTTAACTTATTCTTTAAAAACTACAGTTTCCATGGGATAAATATGCTAGAAAAGCATTCTACAACTACTCATGGGATGTTAGTAGATGTTAACTGCGTAAGAATATCATGGTCAAATAGGTAAGTGCTAGATTAGACCATGTTAAATTATTTTCTGCAGGACTTCTCAGGACCTTTGATAAGAAAATATGAATTGTGAGCATTAAGGACTGATATATGTTGCATCTTCCTAATCTAGTGGCATACAAATCCTTCACCATTTGTTTATTCATGGAAAGCATATTCTAAAGTAATGAGTAGCAGACAGTATTTATAAAGCATCAACTACATGCAATACACTATGGATCAATTTTTTAAAAAGTTTAAAAATGCATTTTTCTGCAATGCAGGAGTCAATTTTTTAGATGGAAAAATAAGGCATAAATGCAGTAGACCTCAGGTAATGGTGTAGAGAAACAACACAGAAGATATCCTGAAGTAATATATCATCAGTGGTCAAATGAATAATTCTACATTTGTTTTTGTTTGTTTTTTTAAGTAGAGAGGTGGGATAAACAAACAAACAGAACTCAGGTTTCCGTGCACTTATGTGCAAGGGACTGGAGGTACAAAACACATAAAATACGGTCACTGTGTTACAGAAGTGAATAACTTACGTGGATAGCCAGGTCTCTGTGAAGCAAGTTCATGTGATGCAAACATAATAGACCAGAACTTTTTAACTTGTATGTGCACATTTATTACCAGGGGCTCTGCACTGATCCAGTAGATTTGGGGTGAGGGTCAAGATTCCGCATTTCTAACAAGCTCCCAAATGATGCTGACGATGCTGGTCCAAGGATCATACTTTCAGAAGTAAGAAGTTAGGGCAGAGTGGGCCAACATTTTCTATAAAGTCCATAGGATGAATATTTGAGGATGCATGGGCCATGCCGTCTTCTGCAACTCCTCGGCTTTGTCACCGTGATGCACGATACGTAAATGAATGAGTGTGGCTGTGTTTCAAAAAAATTTATAGATCATGAAATTCAAACTTGCCATGTCACAGAATATTATTCTTTTTGAAATTTTTTCAAACAATTAAAAATATAAAAGACACGTATTAGCTCATGGGCCATACAGAAACAGGCAGTGGGCCTGCGGCTGTAAGTTTGCTGAGCTGTGAGTTAGAGGTCAAGCTATGCACTCTCGTGGGGAGTCGGCTGAGGTTTCCCTATGAAGCTCGTGTAACCAAAGCAACTGATCTTTCTCTTTTCAAAACCTTTATTACATTTTTCCATGCTTCCTTTTTCCTCTAATAGTTTGTATCTCTCTCTTTTTTTAAATTCTCATCCAAGGATATTTTTCCATCCATCTTCAGATAGAGTGGAGGGTGGGGAGTGGGAGAGAGAAAAAGAAACATCAATGTAAGAGAGAGACATTAACTGGTTGCCTCCCAAACGACCCCGACCAGGGCCAGGGATCGAACTGCAACCGAGGTTTGTGCCCTTGACCAGAATTGAACCTGTGACTCTCTGCAGACCAACACTCCAACCATTGAGCCAAACTGGCCAGGGCAGTTTTTATCTTTTTTACGAGAGATTAAAATATTGCTAATTGACAATAGAGACAAACTCCTCCACTAGTTTCCGAGTTTACCAGGCCTCCTTCCATCACCTGTAGGATGTAATGCAATGCCTTCCACACAGAAGATGCCCAGCAAGCAGGTGTTGGGTTGCATTTAATCTGCTGAGGAGCCTTTCACAGGCTGCAAGGAGGAGTAGCCCTTGGATGGGATTAGTGTAGGATGTAAGGAGAGAATTCCGAGGAGGAGGAAATAAGCGAGTAGTACATGAGGGCTGTGTCAGGAACAATAAGTCTGTGCAAATATTTGACAGAAACAGAGGATTAGTATAGGAAAACGAATGGACATGAAATCAGGGCCAAGTTATATGGAATGTCTCAATACAGATCTGGAGTTTAGGTAATGATGTCTGTGGGGAAGAGTTGGAAGTACTTTAATCTGATAAGGATATTCAAAGGATCTATAACTTACTGGAGATGAAGAGATCAATGAAAAGATTTGAGGTCACTTAAAATTTAAGCCATAGTTCTCATGGGTGAGGATGTGGACTATGACCTGGAAAGAGAACAGAAGAGAAGGAAACATGTCTCCAGGCTGGAATGTTCTCCAAGACTTCATGAAAACAAAGGAAGCCACAAAATACTCCAGAAGCAAGAAATACTGCTCTTCTTAGTTGCCTCAAAAGTAACATGCATTGCATTGTATAGGGTGCTCTATCGGTTAGGGTGTGTGTGTGTGTGTGTGTGTGTGTGTGTGTGTGAGTGTGTGTGTGTTTTGGAAAGGTATTTTAATTCCCCAAGTCATATCTGTTCTTTTGTGAGTATCCCCTATTTATTTTTAAATACCGTTTCTGGAGTAATGCTCCTGAGTATTAGCAAACAGATTTGTTTTTTTAACATTATTTTCAGAGTAAATGCAGACAGATACCTATATTACGCTATCTAAATACAGAAAGAGTGAGTCTTCAGAGCCATATTTTCGCAAAAGGGTATCAGGTCCAAAGAATTTTCCAGAAGATTAGACTCAGAGAAAATCTCCAAGTGCTAATTAAGAGCTCAACGGACAAGGCAGTCCCACAGACTTCTATCCTTTTCGTTGGAAGTGGCACATTCCTGCATATTTCTCTAAAAATAAATCACGTTTGGGCAGGGGTGGGGGCGGGGAGAAGGTTGGGGGAGCTTCATCGTTTTTGTAAAACTGCTGTTGAGAGTTTGAGGTGCTGAGGGAATAAAGGAAAGAGTGTGAGGGAGAGCCGGTGTTAAAATAGTCTGGCAGCTTGCAGCCTCCCACACCAAGGTCCTGGTTGTTTGGGAAAGGAAAATGCTGACCAGCAAGAATGAATTACAACTGCTCCATGTCTCTGGTTGTGGAAGCCAAGTGGTCTGCTAGCAAGTTTTGTAAATATCGGAAATGTGGAAGGCATTAATTCTGTTATTGCTCAGCTGATCAGAAGTCTTAGGGTCAACAAAAATATTGCTGCCTCTGATTTTTTTTAACGCGATGATTAGTTTCCCTTGATACATTGGATATTTTGAGCATAACGTTTATATGACTTTCATATTTTTCTTTAGATAAGAATAATAGATAAAACTGTAATAAATGTAAGTCATTTATTATAAAACATTTTATAAGACTTTGAATTTCTGTTCCTTTGCTTTTGTAATGGGAATGGTCTTTCCAAGTTGGACGATGTCACTCTTGTCCAGGTTGATAAAATGGACAAGATGCTTTGCAAACAAAACCTGTGGGAATTGTCTAGTCATTAATTTCATGGTCTAACATTTTTGGTCAGTGATATTGACACAGATCTTTTCTGATCAAATAAGCATCTGATGATTACAGAGCATCCAGTCTTTCACTTTTGCTTTATTATTTTAAGCGTCACCATTTCCTTTCTTTCTCTCCTTTGACCTCCATTTGGCCTGCAGATGGTTCTGTGAGGGGAAGGAGCTACGCAACACTCCCGATATTCAGATCCACTGTGAGGGTGGGGACCTCCACACCCTGGTCATAGCAGAAGCCTTTGAGGACGACACAGGTCGCTATACCTGCCTGGCTACGAACTGCAGCGGCTCCGAAACAACGTCCGCCGAGGTGTTCATTGAAGGTAAGGGGAGATGAGTGGTCCAGGCATGTGAATGCTCTAACAGCTTCAGTAGGCTTTTGTTGTGAAGATGCTTTTCCAATACAAACAGCACATTGGTGTTCAAAACTTACTTCTCCTGAAAACCTTGTAAATACATCCAACAGTTCTGACACTTAGGCATGCTTCAACCCGTGTCTGATGTCAACATTTGTTTCTTTTCATTTGAAACATTTCAGCTACAGTAACTTAAATTTATTTAAAATGTAATGGACCCAATTTATTTTTGGTTTCTCCAGTGAAAAAAAAGAATGGAAATCTATTGAAATACTGTATCTATCAACCATAGTTAAACTCTAAATTATTCAGGAAATCATGAAAATAAGTGAATTTTTTTTTTTATCCTCACCCGAGGACATTTTTCCATTTTTTTGTTCAGACAGAGTGGGAGGGAGTGGAAGAGAGAGAGAAAGAGAGAAACATCGACCTGAAAGGGACACATCGAGTGGCTGCCACCCACATGACCAACCAGGGCCGGGGACAAACCACAACGGAGGTACATGCCCTTAGCGGGAACCAAACCCGGGTCTCTCTGGACCGCAGGCCAATGTTCTAACCACTGAGCCAAACCGGCCAGGGCATAAGTGAATATTTTTAAGTATTCTCGTTTTGATTAAATTCTAGAATATTTCCTCTTTTAAGACCCTGTTATTCCTGCTAAGGATTAAAGAGGGGTAGGCAGAGAGTAGTGTATTTCTGTTTCTATCAGTTCTTCTTTGACAAGACTCAGCTTGTGGAGAATTAGAAAACTTGATATCAAAGTATATTGTTTTACATTATTGTTGCATTTTGATCGATGCCAATAATTTAAGTTGGAAATGTTTTAAGCACTGCAGTTTTATATTGTCCCTATATCCATATATCAATATGCACCTTATTAATTGGTTGCTTTTCAAAATAGTAGTTAAAATATAGAAAGAAAATTAAAATTCCTGCGGTCTCCACTACCTTATTCTTTATCTTTTTACTACTTTTAACTGTTTAATACCGCCATATTTCTCCATTATTTAAAGGAGAAGGCAGCAGGATGTGAGCCATCATTTTTAGCTCCTTCAAGATCTGGCCGTGTAATTTTAGAAGTAACTGTTACCCCTCACTAAAAGTGTTTCTTTTCTTCTGATAAAAGGTTTCTTTGCATCATCTTTGAAAGCAGACACCTGTGAGCTCCTTGAGGGACCTTGTCCTGTCAATAAAAGCAAACGTTCTGTGTATAGCAGCAACTAATACTTACATGAGACTTATAAATGCACACACAATATATATACCTAACCCCTTAAACTTCACTCTAAGCCTATGGGGTATTACTGGTATTCCCTTCTTACAAATGAGTAAACTGAGACCCAGAGAGTTAGAGGGGCTCATTCAAAGTTACACAAAGATTTAAACCCACGCAGTCTCTCCCCAGGGCCCATATTCTTAACCACTGTGCCATACACATATCAAAGTGCTTAAGTAATAGAGAAAGAATGACAAAAGTTTTTAACATTTCATAAGTTAGCGGTAAGTATTAGTCATGGCAGGCTGTGGAGCAAACTTCTTGAAGTATTTTAGAATATAATAAAGAATACTGAAACTTCCATTAAAAACCTGTTTGTTAATGATGATCAGATGTGTCTCCCAAATCCAAGTTCAGATAGAGCACCTTAAACTTAGGTGCTCTATTTGCTTTCAGTGCTGCTAGAAATGGGGTGAACGTTAGTGTGTATTGCTCCTTTGCTACAGATGACAAATGAAGCCACATTCGTTTAGGTCATGGCCTATCAACTCAATTCAGCTGGCATTTTTTAAGGCCCTACTATGTGCAAGACAGTGTAGGTACAAATATGACTAAGACACAGTTCCTGATATCGAACAGCAGAGATGGACACATTAAAATTTTAAAAACAACAATATAAAATGATGTGTTATTATAATAAGTGATATACTAAAAATATATAAAGTGCTATATGGTTACAAATGAACTTAAAAGATTAACTGCAATATAACTGCAATATATCTAGATAGATAGATAGATAGATAGATAGATAGATAGATAGATAGATGATATACTTACTTTTCATACGAAAAAAGGAAAATGTCTCTACCTCGGAAACCAGTTTCAGTATCTAATGCTGGTAGACCCAAAACATTCACAACATGGTTTTTAACGTTATTTAATTAAATGTAGTTCTTCCGCACAGAAGCTTCTGAACCACCAGCCCTCTTCTGCCTTTGAAATCTTCAGGATGAACAGCCCAGCGTGGGCAAAATGCACCTGGAGGGCTGTGCCCTGTATATCTCATGCCCTGGACTTTGACAAAGACAGTGGGTTTTTCCCGATGCACAGTTTTCCACATGAGAACAGCAGACTGACTCAGCCAACCCGCCACTGTATCTGTGCCTTCAGACAGGCTGTGTGTGAAGAGGAGGATGAATGAGGAAGCTGGACAGAGTTAGAATAAAAAGCCATTATGATTGAGTGTCCAATGCCTAATACAAAAAACTAGCTCACAGGTCTTGTGAAATATGAATAATAATTTTTTTAAAAAAGAGAGAGCCTGTGAGATTTCAGTATATTTTTATACCTGAAAACAAGAACTTTAGATACATTCTTAGGCTATTATGACTGAAAGTGAGTCATTTTTGTATATTACCCAACGTGAAATGAGACTCAGCCATACCGCTGTTGACTGGTTTGCTGCAGCATGTTGTTAATCCTCAGCCTGTAGTCACTGCGGGCCTGTCAGAGAGGAGCAAGTTTCCTGAAGAATTTGAAACATCCAAACAAAGCCTTCCCTAACAGTCCAACAGCCTACTAGTTGGAAACTGTCTGTTTCAGTCTCGCGCATCAAGGTTTAGATACAAAAGACATTACAGCTTCAGAACAGTAGCTAACGTTTATTTTGTGTTAACTAGGAACCAAGCCCTTCCTTTTTATATAAATGATCTAATCTAATCTTTACAAAAGTTATCCCCATTTTATGGTTGAGGAAATCAAAGCTTATAGAAGCCAAGTAGTGCCCAAGATATCTCTCTCTCACACACACACACACACACACACACACACACACACACACTTGAACACACCACACATGTGGGGTTCAAGAATTCAGAACCGCCCTGGCCAGTTTGGCTCAGCGGTTAGAGTGTCGGCCTGCGGTCCGGAGAGACCCGGGTTCGGTTCCCGCTAAGGGCACGTACTTCGGTTGCAGTTTGTCCCCGGCCCTGGTTGGTCGTGTGGGTAGCAGCCACTTGATGTGTCCCTTCACGTCGATGTTTCTCTCTCTCTCTCCCTTCCTCTCTCTCCCTCCCACTCTATCTGTACAAAAAATGGAAAAATATCCTCGGGTGAGGATAAAAAAAGAAAAAAAAAGAATTCAGAACCTGCTCTGGCTGGTTTGGTCAGCAGTTAGAGCAGCTGCCCCCGTTGGGAGTGTGCAGGAGGCAACCAGTCCATGTGTCTCTCTCACATCGATGTTTCTCCCTCAATCCCTTACCTCCTTCCCTTCCGCTCTATCTAAATTAATGGAAAAATATCCTCAGGTGAGGATTAACAAAAAATTTTTTGAAGAATTCAAAACCGGGCTGTCTGACTCCTGAATCAGCCTTAACCACTGCAGAATAAAATGCCGATGAACTCATTACTGAGCAGCTGCCACCTCACACTAGTCACAGGGCTTGGGACCTGAGCAAAGCATGTTTTCAGGGCACGCTGAGCACTGTCTAGAGCAATGGTTCTCGACCTTCCTCATGCCACAACCTTTTAATACAGCTCCTCATGTTGTGGGGATCCCCAACCATAAAATTATTTTCGTTGCTACTTCATAACTGTAATTTTGCTACTGTTATGAATCGCCATCGGAAATATGTGTTTTCCGATGGTCTTAGGCGACCCCTGTGAAAGGGTTGTTCGACCTCCAAAGGGGTGGCGACCCCCAGGTTGAGAACCGCTGGTCTAGGCTGTTGCCTGAGGAATTACTGTGAGGCAGGCCGTGATGCAGAAACCGCAGGCAGACCGGCGAATAGGAGAGGCCTGTGTTCCCACCTCACTGACACTCCAGAATAGAAGTGAGAATAATGCAGTAAACTCATAAAGAATCTGAAGAGATGACATTTGATCTAAGACCAGAACCCCGAGAAGAAACCAGTAGGAAGACAGAGGGCTCCACACAGAGGGCACGGGACCTGGGGAGGGGGGAGACCAGATGTGTGCAAGGGGGGAGACCAGATGTGTGCAAGGGGGGAGACCAGATGTGTGCAAGGAGCAGAAGAAGGTCCAGGGCAGCTGGAGCATGAGCGAGAAGAGGCAGCTGGGAGGGTTGGGCAGTGGCCAATCCATGTGGGACACGAGGCCTTCTGGTCACTGTTAGCAGTATGGGCCTTATTCTGAACAACATCACAAATCATGGAGGGTTTAAACTGAAAAGTCATGTTAGCTGATTTATACAGGGTGGGACAAAAGTAGGTGTACAGTTGTGGGAGCATGAGACAGTTTATTCTTGTATCATTTATTAATTATTGTAATTTTTGCCATACAAACAACTGTAAACCTACTTTTGCCCCACCCTGTATTTTTAAACTATCGCTTTGGCTTATAATGGGAGACCAGTTAGAAGCCTCTGACAGCAGCACCAAGGAGAAATGATGCTGCCTGGGGAGGAGATGGTGTAAAGGAAGTTGGGGATGTCAGATTTGAGTTACGAAATCGGAGGCAGACTCCGGAAGCCATGCGGTGGGCTGGGTGAGGGGATGCAAGGCAGTGGGTACCTCCAGGGATTTCAGCTTCACCATCTGTGCGGACCATGTCGCCCATCTCTGAACTGGGGCAAATGGGAGGAGTGGGGCTGGGGCAGAGGGGAGGAAGTGTTCTGCTTTGAACATGCTAAGTTTGAAACTCCTATTTAGGTCGCCAAGCGGATATGCTCCGTCAGGAATTAAACTTACGAGTCTAGTTTAGCGCACAGGGTGAGTAAAACATTTGGGAG